TTGATAATCCGTCAAAAAATGCTGGAGGTGTATTGGAAAATTCTCAAAGAGAATCCCGGTCCATCTCCGCAGAATGATGATGCTGGCTGGTACCAAGGTCACATCAAACTGCTGGCGTGCACGAACGAGCGCTCAGCAAACTTGCTTAAGTTGGCGGTTACGTCTATAGGGGAAGTGTGGCCCGGCGCGAAACTTGACGTGATCCCGGTTAGTGAGATACCTCGCAGACCGAGATCAATCACGGTTATTCCGGCGGAACCACACGAACCAGAGGCGATTCTGGCGTACCTTCAGAGTGGAAACCCTGACCTACCTACCCACAATTGGAAGGTAGTCAAGGTCTCCGAACCTGAAGGTGCTAACAGAAAGGCGGTCGTGGTCCTTAATAAGGAATCGTTGCCGTTACTCCGAGAGAAGCAAGGCAAAGTATACTACGGATTTGATAGTATCAAGCTGCGCGTCTACCGGGGTGACGACAAACTAGACCCCAAACCGGTAAGCACGGACGGAGGAAAGGTAGACGATACCACTAACTCTGACGACCAAATGGACGCCCAATCAAGTACAGACTTGATTGGGAATCTATTTGATAGCCAGGGCGAAGTGATTGACGAAGACGAGCTTCTGAAAACAGACCCAGAAGACGCCGACGTCACAATCGTCTACGACCCTGACCAAGATGAAGGTGATCCAAGTGAACCTTCACCACTCTAAAGCAGCTTCAGCTGCATTACACCTCCACCTTGGATATCAAGGGGAGGATATAGCGTTGATCCAAGAGCCGTGGACCCATAACGGCAACATACTTGGAATCAACGTAAAAGGCTATAGAATACTATACGCAAAAGGCACAGGTAACATTAGATCTTGCATACTTGCTAAAAGCACCCTAAATATCTTCATTCTATCTGATTACAGTGATGAAGATACAGTAACCGCAGCATGGGAGACAGAGGAATCCACAATGTGGATCCTCTCATGCTATATGGCGCACGACCAGACAGACCCCCCGCCAAGTAACACGGTCGTCAGGGCAGTAAGTGCAGCAAACGGAAAACGCATCCCTGTTATTATAGGCGCAGATGCAAACGCACACCATACACTATGGGGTAGCACCAACATCAACACACGAGGTGAGTTCGTATTAGACTTCATTTTAAATCATAATCTTGAAGTAGTAAATAGAGGTTCAGAACCTACATTTGTAGTTGCAAATAGACAAGAGGTACTGGACATAACGCTTGTAAATACAAGTCATTCGCACATAATCCGAAACTGGAAAGTATCGGAAGATTGTTCCTTTTCAGATCATAGATATCTCGTATTCTCAATAGAAAATATACAGGAAAGGAAAACCCCCTTTCTAAACAGAAGAAAGACAAGATGGGAAGAACAAAATCGAATCCTGACAAGTCTTCTTCAAAATACGCCGGAAATAAACAATACAGCAGATATTGATAGAGCTGTAGACAACCTTACACGCTCTCTTAATCAAGCAACAAGAAGAACATGCAAACCTTCGATACCAAAGGGTAAAAGTAAACCTCCTTGGTGGTCCTCGGAAATAGCGAAGACTAGGAATAGATGTCGCAAACTTTTCAATGAGGCCAAAAGATCAGGTGAATGGTCCACATATAAAGCCTCATTGAATAAATTTAAGAATCAGGTTAGGAATGCTAAACGCTGCTCATGGAGAAGCTTCTGTGGTAGCATCGAAAGCTCTTCAGAGACAAGTCGTTTATGCAAAATCCTGTCTAAATCACAAACCGTTCAAGGCTACATCCAAAAGCAAGACGGTGAGTGGACAACGAGTGGACAAGAATCCCTACAGGAATTAATGGACACTCATTTCCCAGGTAACTTACCATTAGATATTACAATGGAAAGACCACAAACGTATTGTCAAACCCCGATCGGAATAACTATAGACGAGGGAATGATAAAATGGGCAATAAACAGCTTTAACCCATATAAGTCACCGGGCCCGGACGGCATAATTCCAGCTGACCTGCAATATAATGCAGAATTAGTTATACCATGGCTACTTGAAATATTTCAAGCCTGTCTTACATGGTCATACGTACCAGAACAATGGACCAAATGCAGTGTGACGTTTATCCCCAAAGGAGGAAAAACAACGCACATTAAGGCAAAAGATTATAGGCCCATAAGTCTATCATCGTTTCTGCTTAAGACCCTAGAGAGGATCATTGACGTCCACATAAGATCGTCAATAGATCCTATGCTCCTATCTCCCTCACAACATGCCTACACCAAAGGCAAATCAGTTGAGACGGCCCTACACTCACTAGTGGGACATATAGAAAAATCCTTGGAATTTGGTGAATACACGTTAGTGGCCTTTCTGGACATAGAAGGAGCCTTTAACAACGTCAAACCCGACATCATCATATCAGCTCTAGAAGAGCTCGGTATTGAGACATCAGTGATTAAATTCATAAAAGACCTTCTTCAACACAGGATTATCCGTTCTAACATGGGAATGGCATGTATTCAAAGAATGGCAATCAGGGGCACACCTCAAGGTGGAGTCCTATCACCACTTTTATGGAATGTGGCCATAAACAGCCTACTAATGAAACTGGACAACCAAAGATACAAGACTGTCGCTTACGCAGATGACGTTGCGGTAGCAGTATCAGGTTTCCATCTGAATACGATATCTCAAAGACTCGAATCAGCACTCAATCTACTAAGTAAATGGAGCGTTGATAGTGGTTTGAGTGTAAACCCTAGTAAAACCGAACTTGTACTCTACACCAGGAAATACAAGATCGAAAATTTTACCCTACCTCGACTAAACGGAGTCGTACTCTCACTTTCGAACAGTGCGAAATACCTAGGGGTGATACTTGATAGTAAACTATCATGGAAGGAAAATATCACAGCCAGAGTAAACAAAGCCTTAATGGCAATGTACATTTGCAAGAAGGCCATAGGAAAAAGATGGGGACTAAATCCCAAACTGGTAAATTGGATCCATGAAGCGGTTATTAAACCTATTCTCTTTTACGGGGCTGTTGTCTGGTGGAAAGCACTGGACAACAACTCCAATTGTATACTTCTTGATAAGGTACTAAGAAGGATAGCAATCCTTATAACAGGAGCACTGAGAACAACTTCAACCAAATCTCTATTCGCAATGCTTAATTGGATCCCAACGGATCTGATAGCCAGAAAACTGGCACTCATCACTGCCCTCAGACTTGATGCCATAAATGCTTGGACACACAGGCCATACGGCCATGCGGCTATTATGAGGGAAACATCTTTCCTCCCGGGCAATATTGATTACTGTATACCCAAACCTTTCCTCCGTAGGGACTTCGGATACACAATATCCGAAAACTCTTCACCGGAGGATAACAGTTCCCCAAGAACCCTCCTGGTATATACGGATGGTTCTAAAAAAGGGGAACGAGTTGGAGGTGGCATTTTTATCCCTGAATTTGGAACTAAAATAAGCTTTAGGATACAGAATAATTGTAGTCCACTACAGGCTGAACTATCAGCCATAAAAAGAGCAGCAAATTGGCTTTGGTACTACAGAATATCAAACAGAGATATTCAAATTTGTACCGACAGCCAAGCTGCTATCAAATCCCTGATTGGTGTATATACTACATCTAAACTAGTCCAGGAATGCCGGGCATCCTTAAACAGGATGGCGAGACATTCAATAATCGTGCTCAAATGGGTACGGGGACACGGGGATTTGACTGGCAACTATATCGCTGATGAATTAGCGAAACTAGGAGCCTCAATGTCCGACAGAGACATAGACATCTTTTGCGGAATACCGCTAAAAGCTTGCAAGACCATAATAGATGGAAAGTTCTATGAAATTTCTCAGACAAGATGGCGTAATGAACCAACTTGTATCAATACAAGGAAGATATGGCCAAATTTGGATAGTAAACGCACGTCATATCTTCTGCAACTAAACCGCCCTCATATCAGCAACCTTGTTGCTGTCATTACGGGGCATATCTCATTGGGAAACCATGCAAGAAGACTTGGAATTCCCCACAACGACTTCTGTAGAAGCTGTCAAGACGAAGAGGAGGAAGAATCCATCGAACATCTTCTCTGTCAATGCCCGGCGCTAGCGGACACTCGATCAGTATATCTAGGAAAACGACTATTTGATGACTTGTCAGAACTATCTAATCTAGGACTGGATAACATAAATGCCTTCATCAGGCACAGTAACTGGTTTTAGGACCACCAAGCCATAATTAAGGCACTCGCTAGTCCGCAAGGACAGACCTCTCAATCTTCTCTTCCACTTCAATTTCTCTTCTATGACTTAATCCTAAACTATCTTCTACTATCCTCTACCCTCTTTCTTTTATATTTTATTATCTTTACAGGTATCACAAAGGGACCAACAGGACCCAAGTGTGCGTCTTTGCAGCCTGAATACCTAACCTAACCTAACCTAGTCTATAGTCTAGTCTATAGTCTAGTCTATAGTCTAGACTATAGTCTAGTCTATAGTCTAGTCTATAGTCTAGTCTATAGTCTAGTCTATAGTCTAGTCTATAATCTAGTCTACAGTCTAGTCTATAGTCTAGTCTATAGTCTAGTCTATAGTCTAGTCTATAGTCTAGTCTATAATCTAGTCTATAATCTAGTCTATAGTCTATTCTACAGTCTAGTCTATAGTCTAGTCTATAGTCTAGTCTATATTCCATAATTTTCTTTAAATATATAATTTATTGTTAAATTACAATAATAAACTCTATAACTTTTCAACTAACATTTTTCCTCGAGTGTTTTAACATTGTAAACAATATAACAGTAACAATAACACTCTGTCTCTCTCTGCCTTTAACATTTACTGTTGCAAATTTTTCTACTAAACCTAACAAAAGGGGATGTTAAAAATGTAAGTATGCAATCTAACGACCAGCACCATGTTAATGGTATTAACCGAAAAATTGCAAATAAATTCATTCATTTCGTAAAATGTTGTACTAGTCAGAACAAGCAGCAGTCCATGCACATTAATCTTTAGTGCCGGGACTAAAAGCAACGCGATAAGATTTCAAGTGAAATGAAGCGAAAAAATAACAATAATAAATAAATACAATAAAAATACCTTAAACTGCAGTGGAAAAAAAGTAGCAGAGTTCAATTAAGTATTAATTAATAGTTAAATAATTTGTTAAAAAAAAAAACAACAGCAACAATCAGTGGCAACAGAGTTAAAAAAAACCGGCGAAGAAAGTAATTAAATATTGTAAATAAAACGAAGTGAAATTTATCCATTAAAGGATATTGAATTGTCTTTTAAGGCAGGTTTTATAGCAACAAAAAAATATAAACATAAACAAACCGTTAACTGATGAAATCATATGTTTATGCTAAATGAGTAAGAATGACAACACTAAAATAATATAAACATAAACAACAATACAATTATATTAGTGTTACCTTTAGAGCTGCCAGATAAGTTTATGGGAAAATCGTTAAAATTTGTGGAAAATAATGGAAAAGAATTGGAAATGTAAAAATAATGTAAAATATAAGAATTTTGAACATGAATTAATCAGACAATAATATATTTAACAATTTTTATATATTTTCTTATAAACTTTTCAATAAGGAATTGTTTTTTTTTTAATATCTAGAAAATTTTGCCGAAAATTATAAATAAAATGGTGAAAACTTGATCATATTTTCATAAAAAAAAATCCAAAATTAATTCTTTGAAAAAGTTCTTAAGCTGTTGAACTTTATAAATTTTAATTTTAAAAATACATATCATAAAAAACGCTTTTTATGCATTGTTCAAATTTCGTCTGTCATTGCAACTGTTTTATCTGTTTTCGGGTTTAATCTTTAGCTAACAAATGTTTTATTCATATCAGTTAATATAAGAATTATATTAATATGTAGTCCAATAAATCAAACGATATCGTAATAAAATTTAAAAATAACCGTTTGACTTTCTTTTCAAATCATAATGAGTTCAACTTCTTAAAAATTAAAAAGTATGGAGAGATTATCATACACCCATCCTAGGGACACATTGGGCAAAAGCGTTTAACATGAAGACGAATAATAAATTTTGTTATCCTATCGAATATAACGGGTTAAGGCTTATCTTGATAATGATCCATAAGATTTGCCTTTCTTATTGTCGCTATCACAGAGACAAGCAATCGGACCTGTTTGTGGTGTAAAAAGGTACTATCGTTCGAAGTTCAGAATGCAATATATAATTTCGGCGAAAGTCTGGCAATAACAGAGAAAGTTTCAGCGTTTCATTGTTAGACTAGACTATAGTTTAGACTGTAGGCTAGACTTTAGACTAGAACTTTAGACTAGACTATAGACTAGACTATAGACTAGACCATAGACTAGACTACAGAGTAGACTATAGACTAGACCATAGACTAGACTACAGACTAGACTACAGATTAGACTATAGACTAGACTATAGATTAGACTAGACTATAGACTAGACTATATCTAGACTATAGACGAGACTATAGACTAAGTCTATAGACTAGACTATAGAGTTAGACTATAGACTCTGAACTATAGAATAGACTATAGACTGAACTATAGACTAGACTATAGACTAGAACTAATAGACCTGGACGATAGACTGGACTAAAGACTGGACTAAAGACGGGACCTAAAGACTGGACTAAAGACTAGACTAATAGACTAGACTATAAGACTAGACTTATAGGACTGACTATAGACTAGACTATAGACTAGCGGACTATAGACTAGACTATAGACCTAGACTATAGACTAACTAAGACTAGACATAGACTTAGACTATAGACTATAGAACAGAAATACTAGACTAGATACAGACCTAGACTAATAGACTAGACATATAGAGACTAGACTATAGACTAGACTAGACTATAGACTAGACTATAGACTAGACTATAGACTAGACTATAGACTAGACTATAGACTAGACTATAGACTAGACTATAGACTAGACTATAGACTAGACTATAGACTAGACTATAGACTAGACTATAGACTAGACTATAGACTAGACTATAGACTAGACTATAGACTAGACTATAGACTAGACTATAGACTAGACTATAGACTAGACTATAGACTAGACTATAGACTAGACTATACTAGACTATAGACTAGACTATAGACTAGACTATAGACTAGACTATAGACTAGACTATAGACTAGACTATAGACTAGACTATAGACTAGACTATAGACTAGACTATAGACTAGACTATAGACTAGACTATAGACTAGACTATAGACTAGACTATAGACTAGACTATAGACTAGACTATAGACTAGACTATAGACTAGACTATAGACTAGACTATAGACTAACTATAGACTAGACTATAGACTAGACTATAGACTAGACTATAGACTAGACTAAGACTAGACTATAGACTAGACTATAGACTAGACTATAGACTAGACTATAGACTAGACTATAGACTAGACTATAGACTAGACTATAGACTAGACTATAGACTAGACTATAGACTAGACTATAGACTAGACTATAGACTAGACTATAGACTAGACTATAGACTAGACTATAGACTAGACTATAACTAGACTATAGACTAGACTATAGACTAGACTATAGACTAGACTATAGACTAGACTATAGACTAGACTATAGACTAGACTATAGACTAGACTATAGACTAGACTATAGACTAGACTATAGACTAGACTATAGACTAGACTATAGACTAGACTATAGACTAGACTATAGACTAGACTATAGACTAGACTATAGACTAGACTATAGACTAGACTATAGACTAGACTATAGACTAGACTATAGACTAGACTATAGACTAGACTATAGACTAGACTATAGACTAGACTATAGACTAGACTATAGACTAGACTATAGACTAGACTATAGACTAGACTATAGACTAGACTATAGACTAGACTATAGACTAGACTATAGACTAGACTATAGACTAGACTAGACTAGACTATAGACTAGACTATAGACTAGACTATAGACTAGACTATAGACTAGACTATAGACTAGACTATAGACTAGACTATAGACTAGACTATAGACTAGACTATAGACTAGACTATAGACTAGACTATAGACTAGACTATAGACTAGACTATAGACTAGACTATAGACTAGACTATAGACTAGACTATAGACTAGACTATAGACTAGACTATAGACTAGACTATAGACTAGACTATAGACTAGACTATAGACTAGACTATAGACTAGACTATAGACTAGACTATAGACTAGACTATAGACTAGACTATAGACTAGACTATAGACTAGACTATAGACTAGACTATAGACTAGACTATAGACTAGACTATAGACTAGACTATAGACTAGACTATAGACTAGACTAGACTATAGACTAGACTATAGACTAGACTATAGACTAGACTATAGACTAGACTATAGACTAGACTATAGACTAGACTATAGACTAGACTATAGACTAGACTATAGGACTAGACTATAGACTAGACTATAGACTAGACTATAGACTAGACTATAGACTAGACTATAGACTAGACTATAGACTAGACTATAGACTAGACTATAGACTAGACTATAGACTAGACTATAGACTAGACTATAGACTAGACTATAGACTAGACTATAGACTAGACTATAGACTAGACTATAGACTAGACTATAGACTAGACTATAGACTAGACTATAGACTAGACTATAGACTAGACTATAGACTAGACTATAGACTAGACTATAGACTAGACTATAGACTAGACTATAGACTAGACTATAGACTAGACTATAGGACTAGACTATAGACTAGACTATAGACTAGACTATAGACTAGACTATAGACTAGACTATAGACTAGACTATAGACTAGACTATAGACTATAGACTAGACTATAGACTAGACTATAGACTAGACTATAGACTAGACTATAGACTAGACTATAGACTAGACTATAGACTAGACTATAGACTAGACTATAGACTAGACTATAGACTAGACTATAGACTAGACTATAGACTAGGCTATAGACTAGACTATAGACTAGGTACTGAAAAAACTAAATATGTCGTTACTGTTGACCTTTACTACTCATTTGTAAATAAGTTAAACTTGACCTATAACCTTGCAATTACCTTTTAGACATTGTTTGTTGTAAATAAAAATAGACAAGAAAAACATGTGCAAATAAATTGGGATTTTCCCACAAATTTTATATTTAAAAATTTGTAAATGTTTGTTTTAGAGTAAAACCTATTTATTTCCCATTATTATTAGTTTGGTATTGAAAGTTTTAAATTCTAGTAAAAATAGCTAATTATATAAGTATGCAAAAATTAATCCATCAAAACTTGGTATGCGCTTTTAGAAATGTCTTGTCAAAGTCTTCTAGCAATTGGATCAATGAAAGTTATCTTCATATTTCGGAATTTCATTTCAAATTTCCTAACAAATTGTTTATTAATTGTTTTAGTTATTTTTATTTATTTACTCTTCCTTTTAATTGAATATAGTTTTAAATTATGACGAATGATGTCGTTCAGATCTTGTTTACATTTATGCATAAATAATTAACAAATCAATTTGTGGCATGCAATTTCATCTAAATTGATCGCAATTTACAAATAATAAAGTGACAACAGCAAACGATTTTATTGCGATCCATGAAATGTTTTTGTTTTTTCCCCCAAACAATTAGTAATTACATATAAAAAAGTTTAATTAAACTGAAATGGATTAAATATTGTAAATAATCACTTTTAAACAATTACATGAATAAACATTAGTTTTTCCTATTGCTCATTTGTATCTCAACTATGAAAAACTTTTGGAAATTTAAAATATTTTCCATCTTGAACCACTGTACAATGTAAATATTTTACTTTATTCATTACAAAAATCACATTTGTTCGGTATAGTATGAAAACCATTTAATGTTTATTTGCAAAACACAAATTAAACTAAAATTTCTAACACTTAGTGAGAGAACGATATTTGTATAAGTAATCGTCAAATAATTGTCCACAAAACCAATTTAATAGCTACAAAAAAAAAAAAAACAACTATTCTCAAATAAATAACTTAAAACCCTAAAGGAATTACTTCGTCCAGATTACACAGATGAAAAGTTATAGCGATATGATTAACATACTTGGAATACCCCAAAATAATTGTGTTTTTTTCACCAGGCATGGATAACTGAAATTTTGAAATAGTAGACTATTATTGACTAGTCTAGTCTATAGTCTAGTCTATAGTCTAGTCTATAGTCTAGTCTATAGTCTAGTCTATAGTCTAGTCTATCAGAACAATAGTACAGAATTTTCCATCCCCGTTTTGTCATATATTTCAAAATACTCAATCACTTTCTATTTTTAAAAATTTCTCTTAATTTAAAAAGACTTCCGTAATCCGACAATGATCAGGAATGGAACATATAACGCTATAGCGGTTTATTCAGGCGAGAACTTAAGTTTTCAATAAAAAAAATACTTTTAACTTCGTTTACATTGACATGAAGTGAACTTTGTTTTCTAACTTATAGAGGTTGAGTCCTGTTTTCATGGTGACCTGCATCTTCAAAAATCTGCAAAACTATGTATTCTAATTCGATCATATCATAGAAATGATCATGATAAGTGTGTATAATTAAACCAAGAAAACTAAAGTAATTAAATCAAGCGATTTTGACGATCATGGCAAATATGAAACATTATCTTGAAAACGAAATGTTCTGTTTCAAATCAGGCAATCATCGATGTCCTTCGTTGTAAAAGATGTTCCATTCGAGAACTTCAACTAGAACAAATTCCTACAAAGTGATCGTTATTCTTCCAGAATAAACGAATATTATATTAATTAAAAAGATTTTAATAGTGACAATATAAAGTCACAATTTTCCATTCCTGTAAGTGATATGTGTGTGTGAGAATAGAGAAAGAAAATCTCAGAAATCACAATTATTTATTTTCGATGATCTCTTAATAAATCGATGCGTGATGTTGTAAATGAAAAAGAGAGAAGGCGGCAAATATCTAAACATCTACAACATCTAAATATCTATTTGTCTAGCTATTATTATATCCGTCTAACTGTCTGTCTCTCGCTACCCATTCACGACACGGTTTATTGCTATTGTTGTTATTATTTAATATATTTTACGAATCACCTCAAATACAAATATTTATAAATAAATTTAAAAAAAAAAACGCTTTTTTGTGAAATTTCATTTCAGTACAAATATTCTCAACAAAACAGTGAGTTGTGACAAACGTGCTTGACAATCTACTGTTAAAGAAACGGCGAACAAATTGCAATAAATAATTAAATTTTCACAAATTTCACGGAAAATTTAATAAAAACAAATTAACAAAGAAAATGTACTAGTCTTTGAATAATAAAATAAAGTATAAAATAAATTAATTAATAAATAAAATTAATTAAATTGTTATTATTTTTTAAAATGGATTTCGATCAAGTATTAGAAGAAATCGGTGAATTTGGCCGTTATCAAAAAACCAATTATTTATTAATATGTCTACCGGTCATGTTTGCCGCGGCCAATAGTTTATCGTATGTTTTTACAGCCGGTTCACCAGCTTATAGGTAATTTATCTCAAAATTTAAAAAGGGAAATTCCTAAATGTAAAACTAATTAAATAATTGTGTTTTTTTTTTCTAAGATGCTTAATACCTCAGTGTGATGATTTGCAACAGCAACAATTATATCCTCATTGGCTGGTTAATGCTACTCCGGGTACTTACGATAAAAATGGGGTTTTTACTCCCGAGTCTTGTTATCGTTATCGGCTAAATGATTCGGCAAGTGTTAATAGCTTGGGACAAGAGTGTCCTCGTGATATGTTTTATAGTGACTTAAAGGAACGTTGTTTTGAGTGGGTATTTGATGCAGAGGAAAGAACAATTGTACAGGAGGTAAGTGATGGAAAATATCGAGGATATAGTCAATCCAATCAGACAATATAACATTGTTTTGCCAAATACATGCAAAAAAGAGGACTATAATCTAAACTGTAAACTGCACTAAAAGTCTATAATCTCGACTATAGTCTAATTTTTAATTCCGTTTAAAGTCTGGCCTAAACTCTAATCTACTGCCAGGAATGTACTATAATCTGAAATATTTTCTAGCCTACAGACAGGACTATAGTCTGGATTGTGAGGATGGCAGTCTGGACTAAGGCTAGTCCATAATCAGGACAACAGCACACAGTGGTATAGGAAAAAAAAAAGAGGGAAATAATTCGGTAACTTCTAAACGGTTAATCCGATTTTAATGAAATTTGGTGTGCACAAAGAGGAGGTGTTGTCGAGTTTAGGTTTTGAATTTGGACCTTATAGGCCAACCAGGGGCCCGGCGGGGGGTCCTCAAATTAGGACACCTCGGCTATGTTAAATTTTTAAAACGATCCTATTTCTTCATTTGAGTTCCGATTTAAAAAAAATTTCGTATATAGAATCTCCTCATCGAGCACTATAAAAAATGTTGTCATAGCAGTAAATTATCTCTTATAGTTTAGGAGATATTCGCATTTGAAAATTAAAATTTTAAAATTTTTACCGTCCTTACTTTAGTTTTTTTTAATAATAGCAGGTCCAAATATTCCCGATTTTCGCCATTTTGTTTTATTCGCTTAACAACAAGTTTATATATCAAGCAGTGAAAGAATTATGTAAAAATCATGACTGAGTCCAAAGTTATAGGCATTTTAATTTAAAAAATTAAAAAAAGGCGATTTTTTGTCATTTTTTTGGGAAAAAAGTATCTTTTTCTTTTTAAGTTATCTAAAAAGTTTCTAAGAAGATGTATATAGAATTTATACTTTTTGGAAAGCTGACTTTACATAAAGTACGATAAATGAAACAAAACCTAAAAATTTTTGATACCGAGGGGACCAGGTCCATCCAAAAAAACCCTATTTTTTATGGAAAATTAAATTTTGAGCAAAAATTCTCAAATCGCATAGTCGATATCAAATTATAGTGACCTGTTTTATATGACCCAATATGTTCTTAATCATTTTGTAACGGGTTTCGATAACCCCGCCCCTGGTATGGATATAATAGGCAAAAAACTAAAAAATCCCATTTTTGGGATTTTTTAAAACTTTTTTGGGAATTCCGGGATTTCTAATAAGAAAATTCGAAATTTTGATTTAATTTTGGATTTTAAGTAAAAAAATCTACCTAACTGTAAAATTTCATCAAAAAATATTCATAAATAAAATTTTTATTGCAATTAGAAAAATTTGTATCTTCGCAAAAACTGAATAAAAAACATTTTTTAATTTTTTTTAAAAAAAGTATTCCGCGAATTTTTTAATTTTCAAAAATTATATACAGTTTTGAAAAATAGACAAAATTACCTTTCCATTGATATATAACATGCCTACCTAATGTTTTTTAAGTGACAAATTAATTAGGGAAAACTCAACATCTTTTAGAAAATTTGCCTAGCACTATTATTTTCATCCATAAGGTTAACTCTTAAATTTGTTACATATATGGATGAAAATAATTTTATTTATGAATATTTTTTGATGAAATTTTACAGTTAGGTAGATTTTTTTACTCAAAATCCAAAATTAAATAAAAATTTCGAATTTTCTTATTAGAAATCCCGGAATTCCCAAAAAAGTTTTAAAAAATCCCAAAAATGGGATTTTTTTGTTTTTTGCCTATTATATCCATACCAGGGGCGGGGTTATCGAAACCCGTTACAAAATGATTAAGAACTTATTGGGTCATATAAAACAGGTCACTATAATTTGATATCGACTATGCGATTTGAGAATTTTTGCTCAAAATTTAATTTTCCATAAAAAATAGGGTTTTTTTGGATGGACCTGGTCCCCTCGGTATCAAAAATTTTTAGGTTTTGTTTCATTTATCGTATTTTATGTAAAGTCAGCTTTCCAAAAAGTATAAATTCTATATACATCTTCTTAGAAACTTTTTAGATAACTTAAAAAGAAAAAGATACTTTTTTCCCAAAAAAATGACAAAAAATCGCCTTTTTTTCATTTTTTAAATTTAAATGCCTATAACTTTGGACTCAGTCATGATTTTTACATAATTCTTTCACTGCTTGGTATATAAACTTGTTGTTAAGCAAATAAAAAAAAATGGCGAAAATCGGAAATATTTGGACCTGCTATTATCAAAAAAACTAAAGTAAGGACGGTAAAAATTTTAAAATTTTAATATTCAAATGCGAATATCTCCTAAACTATAAGAGATAATTTACTGCTACACGACATTTTTTATAGTGCTCGATGAGGAGATTCTATATACGAAATTTTTTTTAAATCGGAACTCAAATGAAGAAATAGGATCGTTTTAAAAATTTAACATAGCCGAGGTGTCCTAATTTGAGGACCCCCCGCCGGGCCCCTGGTTGGCCTATAAGGTCCAAATTCAAAACCTAAACTCGACAACTCCTCTTTGTGCATACCAAATTTCATTAAAATCGGATTAACCGTTTAGAAGTTACCGAATTATTTCCCTCTTTTTTTTTTCCTATACCACTGTGCAGCATGGATCATAGTCTTGCCCATAGTTTGTAATATAGTCTAGTCTACGGTCTGAATTCTAGTTTAGTTTATACTTAGTCTCTACTGTAGTCTGGTCTCTAGTTTGGACTATTATCTAAGCTATAGTCTGAACTATAGCCTGGACTATAGTCTGAGCTATAGCCTGGCCTAAAGTCTGTTCTATAGTCTGCCCTATAGTCTGAGCTATAGTCTGGACTATAGACTGAGCTATAGTCTGAACTATAGTCTGGACTATAATCTGAGCTATAGTCTGGACTATAGTCTGAGCTATAGTCTGGACTGGATAGACTTAATCTAGTCTATAGTCTAGTATATAGTCAAGTCTATAGTCTAGTCTATAGCCAAGTCTATAGTCTAGTCTATAGTCAGTCTATAGTCTAGTCTATAGTCTAGTCTATAGTCTAGTCTGTAGTCTAGTCTATAGTCTAGTCTGTAGTCTAGTCTATATTCTAGTCTATAGTCTAGTCTATAGTCTAGTCCATAGTCTAGTCTATAGTCTAGTCTATAGTCTTGTCTATAGTCTAGTCTATAGTCTAGTCTATAGTCTAGTCTATAGTCTTGTCTATAGTCTAGTCTATAGTCTAGTCTATAGTCTTGTCTATAGTCTAGTCTATAGTCTAGTCTATAGTCTTGTCTATAGTCTAGTCTATAGTCTAGTCTATAGTCTTGTCTATAGTCTAGTCTATAGTCTAGTCTATAGTCTTGTCTATAGTCTAGTCTATTGTCTAGTCTATAGTCTAGTCTATAGTGTAGTCTATAGTCTAGTCTATAGTCTAGTCTATAGTCTAGTCTATAGTCTAGTCTATAGTCTAGTCTATAGTCTAGTCTATAGTCTAGTCTATAGTCTAGTCTATAGTCTAGTCTATAGTCTAGTCTATAGTCTAGTCTATAGTCTAGTCTATAGTCTAGTCTATAGTCTAGTCTATAGTCTAGTCTATAGTCTAGTCTATAGTCTAGTCTATAGTCTAGTCTATAGTCTAGTCTATAGTCTAGTCTATAGTCTAGTCTATAGTCTAGTCTATGTCTAGTCTATAGTCTAGTCTATAGTCTAGTCTATAGTCTAGTCTATAGCCAAGTCTATAGTCTAGTCTATAGTCAGTCTATAGTCTAGTCTATAGTCTAGTCTATAGTCTAGTCTATAGTCTAGTCTATAGTCTAGTCTATAGCCAAGTCTATAGTCTAGTCTATAGTCAGTCTATAGTCTAGTCTATAGTCTAGTCTATAGTCTAGTCTGTAGTCTAGTCTATAGTCTAGTCTATAGTCTAGTCTATAGTCTAGTCTATAGTCTAGTCTATAGTCTAGTCTATAGTCTAGTCTATAGTCTAGTCTATAGTCTAGTCTAGTCTAGTCTAGTCTATAGTCTCGTCTATCGTCTAGTCTATAGTCTAGTCTATAGTCTAGTCTATAGTCTAGTCTATAGTCTAGTCTATAGTCTAGTCTATAGTCTAGTCTATAGTCTAGTCTATAGTCTAGTCTATAGTCTAGTCTATAGTCTAGTCTATAGTCTAGTCTATAGTCTTGTCTATAGTCTAGTCTATAGTCTAGTCTGTAGTCTAGTCTGTAGTCTAGTCTATAGTCTAGTCTATAGTCTAGTCTGTAGTCTAGTCTATAGTCTAGTCTATAGTCTAGTCTATAGTCTAGTCTATAGTCTAGTCTATAGTCTAGTCTATAGTCTAGTCTATAGTCTAGTCTATAGTCTAGTCTATAGTCTAGTCTATAGTCTAGTCTATAGTCTAGTCTATAGTCTAGTCTATAGTCTAGTCTATAGTCTTGTCTATAGTCTAGTCTATAGTCTAGTCTATAGTCTAGTCTATAGTCTAGTCTATAGTCTAGTCTATAGTCTAGTCTAGTCTATAGTCTAGTCTATAGTCTAGTCTATAGTCTAGTCTATAGTATAGTCCATAGTCTAGTCTAATATCTAGTTCCACACTTCAATTTATTTTATTATCTGTTTTTAGTGGGACTTAACTTGCCAAGAAAATGCCTGGAAATTGGCATTTGTTGGTACAATGCATTTTGCGGGCCTGGTGGTTGGCACAGCTGGCTCGGGCTATTTTGCAGATCGGTAACTAATACAACTACAAACAATTTCATTCATTTATCCTCAAACCATTCAAAAATCAAAACAAATTTTCTTTAAACTCCAGATACGGTCGCAAAATCATCTTTATCGTTTGCATCATATTCATGGCCATAACAGGTGTGGCTCAGGGTTTAGCTTGGGATTATAATAGCTTCTTAGTATTTGCTTTTCTAAATGCTGTCGGTACTTCGGGTGTTTATCCTTTAGCATTTATTATTGGGGTCGAAATGGTGGGGCCGAAGAAACGTGAAATGTCCTCGATTGTCTTAAATTATTTCTATGCTGTGGGTGAGGCTTTAGTGGGTCTAACGGCCTGGCTATTACACGATTGGCAATTGTTGCAGTATGCTCTCTCCATACCACCGTTATTTTTTATAGTCTATTATTGGCTAGTGCCTGAATCAGTAAGATGGTTGATTGCCCGCAATCGTAAAGAGAAGGCGGGTCAAATTATACGTAAAGCGGCCCAGGTTAATCGTAAAGAGCTGTCAGTGGCCTTGTTGGCAAATTTTCAAACGGATAATTCTAGTGAAACTACTACAAACAATGGTGATATGAAGTTGGGTAAAGATAAAGAGAAAGCGGAAAAATATGAAATCTGGTTGGCAGTAAAGGAGGTGTTTAAATCGAAAACTTTAATGTTTAGATATACGATCATGTTGTATATATGGTGAGTTGGTCTATAGGCAGTATTTGTAAAAATATTGACTAGAGTTTTTCTTAACATTTAGGGCCATTAATGCGGTGGTTTACTATGGTCTTTCCCTTAACTCTACTAATTTAAGTGGTAATAAGTATTTCAACTTTGCTTTGGTATGTCTGGTGGAAATTCCCGGCTATACTTTGGCTTGGGTAAGTTTTTTATAAGATTTTTTAATTTATATGTTTGTCTAAAGCATTTTTCTTAGATTTCACTTAATAAATTTGGTCGCCGTCTTTCATTAACTGGTTCATTATTTCTTTGTGCCATAACATGTGTAGCCGGGGGTTACATCACCAAAGGTAAGTAGTAACTTTAAGGGCTAAAAGGCTATTTCAAAAATTTTAATGTTTGTCAAAAAGTTTCGCGTTTTATTATTCTTGAATCAAGAATACCAGAAATAGTCTTATTTAACATGCTATAGGTATAGAAACAAAAGCAATAATCTCAAACTTTGTCGTCTTTGATTTATTTATATCATAAACTTAAATATCAAAAGATACTTGTATTTTTATTTAAATTACTTTTATATTCAGATCATAGAGATATGGAGATTGCAGCTTTTGTTTCTTTACCGCTCATGTTTTTCATTGTATTTCTATTTAATTTAAATATTTTTTCTATTTTCTATTTTGTTTTTCCATTTATTAGTTGAAACTAACATGGAAACACGTAAAATTTAAATGAAGAACAAAAATACTCTTTATCACTATAGCTGACATTAAAAATAAACGTAAAATTTACTATATTATATGCACATAAGGGTACAAACCGAAAAAATTTTAAATAACACCAAAAGTCATTGATGTAATAGTAAAAATGTGAAATTTTCGTCAAAGCGGTTAGTTAGTTAGTTAGTTAGTTAGTTAGTTAGTTAGTTAGTTAGTAGTTAGTTAGTTAGTTAGTTAGTTAGTTAGTTAGTTAGTTAGTTAGTTAGTTAGTTAGTTAGTTAGTTAGTTAGTTAGTTAGTTAGTTAGTTAGTTAGTTAGTTAGTTAGTTAGTTAGTTAGTTAGTTAGTTAGTTAGTTAGTTAGTTAGTTAGTTAGTTAGTTAGTTAGGTTAGTTAGTTAGTTAGTTAGTTAGTAGTTAGTTAGTTAGTTAGTTAGTTAGTTAGTTAGTTAGTTAGTTAGTTAGTTAGTTAGTTAGTTAGTAGTTAGTTAGTTAGTTAGTTAGTTAGTTAGTTAGTTAGTTAGTTAGTTAGTTAGTTAGTTAGTTAGTTAGTTAGTTAGTTAGTTAGTTAGTTAGTTAGTTAGTTAGTTAGTTAGTTAGTTAGTTAGTTAGTAG